GGGAAAGAATAGTCTCTTCAATAAATGGTGTTGGTAAAACTGGATAGCCATATGCAAAAAATGAAACTGGATCCCTATCTTATACACAAAAATCAATTCAAAATTGATTAAAGACGTAAATTTAAGACTTGAAATCATAAAACTCTTAGAAGAAAACATAGGGGGTAAGCTCCTTGACATCGCTGTTGGCAATGGTTATTTGGATTTGAGAACAAAAGAAAAGACAACAAAAGCAAAAATAAACAAGTGGGACTACCTCAAACTAAAAAGCTTCTGCACAGCAATGGTAATCATCAATAAAATGAAAAGGCAACCCATGGAATGGGAAAAAGTATTTACCACATATCCAATAAGCAGTTAGTATCCAAAATATACAAGGAATTCATACAACTCAATAGCAAAACAAACAAACAAAACCAAATACCACAATTCAAAATGGGCAAAGGACCTGAATATGTGTTTTTCCAAAGAAGACATACAAATGGCCAACATGTACACGAAAAGGTATTTAACATCATTAATGATCAGGAAAATGCAAATCAAACCATAATGAGATACTTCCTCACATATTGTTAGGACGTGTATTATCAAAAAGGGAAGAGATAAATGCTGGTAAGAATGTTGGGAAAAGGGAACCCTTGTCCATTCTTGGTAGTATAGTCACTATAGAAAACATAGGTCCCTCAAGAAATTAAAAATAGAACTACCATATGACCCAGGAATCTCACTTCTGGGTAAATATCCAAAGGAAATGAAATCACTATTTCATTATCTCAAAGAGATATCTGAACTGCCAGATTTATTGCAGCACTATTCACAATAGTCAAGGTTTGGAAACAATGTAGGTGTCCATCCAGAGATGAATGGATAAAGAAAATGTAATACACACACATCCACATACACAGACACAATGGAATATTTTGCAATCTTAAAAAAAAGAATGAAATTCTGTCTTTTGTGACAACATGGATGAACATGGAAGGTATTATGCCAAGTGAAATAAGCCAGAGAAAAAGAAAAACTACATGGTATCACTTATGCAGAACCAAAAACAAACAAAATAGTTGAACTCATAGAAACAGAGGGTAGAATGGTGGTTGCCAGGAGCTGGCTGGTGGGGGGAATAAGGAGAGGTTGGTAAACGTTTTTAAACTTTCACTTTATAAGATGAATAAGGCTCGAGGATGTAATGTATAACATGGTGAATATAACTGATAATACTGTCTTGTATAATTAAATTTTCTAAGAGAGTAGAACTTAAGTATTTTCATCAAAAAAAAAGTGTGAGGTGATGAATGTGTTAAATGAACTCAATGGAGGGAATCATTTTACAATGTATATGCATATCAAATCATAACTGTATATGTTAGATATATGTATTATAATTTTATTCACCAATTATACCTTAATAAAGCTGAAAAAATATTTTTCAAAAGCTTTTTTCCCCCCTGAACTGACATAATCCTACAGAAAATATTAAGAGAACTTTTCTTTGAGTTATTTCTTTTTCAATGTTTCATTGCTCATTAGCCGGATCAATATACAAACCATTTCCTCCCAAGGGTTATCTTTACTTATTTATTGACGTCTGCCAATAACCTGATCGAGGGGAGTACTATATGGATTCCATAACTGGGCAAAAGTTATAGCATATACCATGAGAACACGTAAACTTTTCTTATCTAAGGCTTGCCTTCTTCCTTAAAATTGTAAGAGCTCCATTGTGTTTTCTGAGTTCATGTGATTTTAAAAAAGACAAAAAATATGCATGCATACATTCCTGGTCCTTTACCCCTACGCTTTTGTACTTTTAGTTTTTTACCTCATTTCCTAGCAGGGCATTTACACAGGCTTCTGATGCATCGCAGATGGCTGTGAGATCATGTCCTCCTTCTAGAGCCAACACCACATGTCCATCAGCCAGTGTCATCAATTGCTTCGTCAAATGACCAAAGCCTAACATAATGCAAACAGAACATTTCAAAGTAAAAATTAAAAGTTAACTGACCACTAGAATCTTATATTGATTGAGCATTTATTCTGCATATGTCCTTTCTCAGCACTTCCCATGTGCTATCTTGTTTAATACTCACAATAACTTGATAAATTAGGTCCTATTAGCATCTCTATTTAACAAATGAGGGCACCAAAACCCAAGATCCCACAGCTAAGAAGTATCACAACTAAGATTTGCAACAGTCGTTTTGGTTCTTCACCAGTGCACATTACTGCCTTTCACAACACATTCTATGTGTACCTGGATGAAAATCTTGAATAGTGTTTCGCTGTTAATAAGGTAAAGAATTCCATTTGCTTAATATTTCTTTCCTGTTTCCATCATCTGCCTTCATTATAAAAGGAAGTTTTCTATATATCACCTCAAAGTACTTAACTATCACATTAGATTTTACAGACATTCTTTTACTATGAAATAGTTGATAAATGCAAAAAATAATATCTATTTATGTTATAAAGTATAATATGACAAACACCTGGTCACTCACCTTCCAATTTAAGGAAAATACTTTTGAAGCCCCCGTATGCTTCTCTCTAATAACATAATTCCTCCTCACTATGGGAAATCAGGATCCTGAGTTTATGTTTATAACTCCTTTGCTTTCCATTGTTAATTTGCTTATTTTGGAACTTTATAAAAATGGTTTTATACCTTTGCACCTTGCTCTTTTCACACATTTTGTTAGCTCATCTCTGTTGATACATGTAGCTACAGTTCTATGCTGTCTAGTAGGCCATTTAATGAGTATAGAAGAATTTATTTACCCATTCTCCTGTTGACAAATATTTAGGTTTTGTTATTACAAAAAATGCCCCTATCGGACTTCCCTCGAGGTCCAGTGGTTAGGACTCTGTGCTTTCACTGCCATGGGCCTAGGGTTCCATCTCTGGTCAGGGGAACTAAGATCCCACAAGCCATGTAGTGCGGCCAAAAAAAAAAATGCCCCATGAACATTCTTATACCAGTCTTCTGGTGTACCTGTGCAAGAGCGGAGTGAAATTGTCATGACTTAAAACCTGCTAAATAATACCAGATCATTTCCAAAGGACTATTATCAATCCCCACTCTGAGAAGCAGTATATATTAGAATCCCGGTTTAGTCACATCCTTGCCACCATTTGCTATGATTTGCCAACTGGGTAGATGAATGATAGCATCTTACTGTGGTTTCATTCAGTATAATGAGGAACCTTTCTATTTCTACTCCAAATTAGAGTTTTTATTATAAACAGATGTTGAATTTAATTATTTTACTATACCAAATGAGATGGTTTTTCTCCTAGAATTTCATAGTATTGTGAGTTACATTAATATTTCAAATATTTAGCCATCATTGAATTTATGAAAAAAATAAGTTTGATTGTGATATATTATCTTTTTTATATAAGCTGGATTTGTCTGACTAATGCTGTGTTTAGATTTTTTTTTCACCTATGTTTATGAAAGGGGTTAATCTATAAATTTCCATTCTTTTATTGACCATGTTGAATTTTATTATGGTCAGACCCTCTTTTTCTATTATTTGACCCTAGAATGTTGGGTAGAAATCTTCTGTAAAACCATTTGACTCTTGTGTTTTCTTTGAGGAAGATTTTTATCTATTGAGAATTTCTTTAGGGATTAGAGGACTATTTGTGTTTTCAATATCTTCCTAAGTTATATTTTTCTAGAAATTTCTATCTTCTGTGTTCAAATTTATTCAGTAAAGTTATTTATTGCCTTTATTATCATATGTTGGCACTCCAATTAGATGTAGTCATTGTTACTGTATCCTCAACATCTCTGAAGTTTTCTTTCATATTTTCTTTCTGTCCTGCATTATGTGTACTTTCATTTCAGATCTATCTTCCAGACTTTCTCTCTCCAGATGTATCTAATCTGCTATTTATACTTCTACAGATATTTTCATTTCAGTGATTACATTGTTCAATTCTAGATGTTCTATTTGGTTATATTTTATAACTTCCTAGTCAGTTTTATATTTTCTTACTTTTGGTTCATGTTTTTATTTCTTTCTTTTATTTCTTTAGGCATAATTATTTTATTCTATACCTGCTACTTGAAGTGTTTATGGCTTAGTTTTACTATTTTTTGTTTCTGATGATTCAGCCTCATGATGTCTTAATTCTCCTTTGTTTTTTGAATTTTTTTGAGCTCATATTAATCAGAACTTTATATGTGAGAAAGCTTGGAAGCCTGAGTTGAATGTGATATTTATCTTTGAAACCTGATTTGAGTGTGATTTTGTTTGCTTCTGCTGGATGGCTGAAACATTACCAACCAAGATCAGTTTTAAATTTTTAGACTCAAGGGCTGTTTTTTTTTTTTTTTTAATGCACAGATAATGTAAATATGGACCCCCAAATGATTACAAATTGACATAGAAAAAAATATAGGTTTTTTTTCCCTTTCCATTCCCTTTGAAATTCCCTCTACTGATAGCCATAGCTAAGATCAATTTGTTGTTTTACTCAGCAGTATTTCCTTTTCTCCTATTTATCCTTTTCTTTAGAGTTGGCCCTTTGACATTCCCTTTTTTATTCTGTTCTCCAATCAAAACCCTTCCCTTCACAGACCCAAAGCTTCAACTCCCCTTTCTAGTATGCAGTAGTCTATTAATGTTCAAGCTTTCGCCAACTGAACACTTTTGGGATAGCCCAGGGTGGCCAACAGCTATAATATTTGCTAACTTTTCTTCATCTTTTTGGAAGTCATCCATAAACTTAAAAGAGTAGTCTTGATATTTTCATGTAGGAGTATTTCAGTATATGCAATCACTCATATTGCCAAATGTAAATGTCTCTCAATATTTTAAAAATTTTAACATTTCATCAACCTGCTCAATTTCAGGCACTACTGAAAAGAAAAAAGGATAAATGAAAATATATAAAACCATGTGTTTGGGCTTCCCTGATGGCGTAGTGGTTGAGAATCTGCCTGCCAATGCAGGGGACACGGGTTCGAGCCCTGGTCTGGGAACATCCCACATGCCGTGGAGCAACTAGGCCCGTGAGCCACAACTACTGAGCCTGCACATCTGGAGCTTGTGCTCCGCAACAAGAGAGGCTGCGACAGTGAGAGGCCCACGCACCACGATGAAGAGTGGCCACCGCTCGCTGCAACTAGAGAAAGCCCTCGCACAGAAATGAAGACCCAACACAGGCAAAAATAAATAAATAAATAAATAAATAATTTTTAAAAAAACAACCATGTGTTCAATATGGCATTTCATTTTTTAAATAGGCTTTAAGAACATGCAGGACATAAACATTTAATTTTTAAAACAATTATATTTTTAAAGCAGTTAACAGATGTGTTGCTACAGCATAACACATCTGGACTGGGCTCCCAGATCCTCACATGCTCAGCGGCCCACAAGTTCCTGAATCGACTTGTTGAAAACAAGTGGCCAAGATTGAGGAGTAGGAGGACTCTGAGCTCACCTTTTCCCATGGGCACACAGAAATTACAACTATTTACAGAGCACCTACTGAGGAGAAAGACTAGAAGGATATCAGAAAAAAGATCTACAACTAAAGATATAAAGAAGGAACCACAATGAGATGGGTAGGAAGGGCAAAGATGTAGTATAGTCAACACCCATATTCCTAGGTGGGCACCCACAGACAGGAGGCTAATTACAATTACAGAGGTTCTCCCCAAGGAGCAAGGGGTCCAAGCCCCACATCGAGCTCTCCAGCCTGGGGGTCCTGCACTGGGAAGCCAAGATCCCAGAAAGTTTGGCTCTGAAGGGCGGTGGGGATTACTTTGGGGAGAGCCAGAGGGCTGTGGGAAATAGACCCCACTCTTTTCTATTAATTAATGTATTTATTTATTTATTTTAGGCTGCATGGGGTCTTCGTTGCTGCACGTGGGCTTTCTCTAGTTGTGGCGAGCAGGGCCCACTCTTTGTTGCGGTGCATGGGCTTCTCATTGTGGTGGCTTCTCTTGTTGTGGAGCACGGGTTCTAGGCACACAGGCTTCAGTAGTTGTGGCTCGCGTGCTCAGTAGTTGTGGCTTACGGGCTTAGTTGCTCCTCGGCATGTGGGATCTTCCCGGACCAGGGCTTGAACCCATGTACCCTGCATTGGCAGGCAGATTCTTATCCACTGCGCCACCAGGGAAGTCCCTAGACTCCACTCTTAAAGGCACACACAAAATCTTACACTCTCCAGGACCCAGGGCAGAAACAGTAATTTGAAAGGAGCCTGAGTCAGACACACCTGCTGATCCTGGAGTAATAAAAGAGAGAAACCTACAAACAAGAATACTTTACCCAGCAAGGCTTTCATTCAGATTTGATGCAGAGATCAAAAGTTTTACAGACAAGGAGAAGCTAAAAGAGTTCAGCACCACCAAACTAGCTTTACCAGAAATGTTAAAAGGACTTCTCTATGTGAAAAAGAAAGGGCCATAACTAGAAATATGAAAATTACAAAAAGAAAAGTTTTATTGGTAAAGGCAAATATATAGAAAAGGTAGTAAATTAGCCATGTATAAAGCTAGTAGGAAAGTTTAAAGACCAAAGAAGTAAAATCATCTATATCCACAATAAGTACTTAAGGGATGCACAAAACAAAAAGATGTAAAATATTATGTCAAAAACAGTAAACACGGGAAGGGGAGTTAAAATTCAGGGTTGTTAAAATGTGTTTGAACTTAAGAGATCAGCAACTTAAAATAATCATATTTATATTTAGATTGCTATATATAAACCTCATGGTAATCACAAACCAAAAAACTACAATAGATACGCACACAAAAAAGAAAAAGGAATTCAAACATAATTCTAAAGATAGTCTTTTGGCTTTAAAAGACACATGAGACCCAATGCACTCAACAGATATATAGAGAAAAAGATATCAGGCCTGTGGTTATCAGAGGTGGGGTTTAGGGGGAGGGGGAATTGCATGAAGGCAGTCAAAAGGTACATACTTCC